AATGATTCTTTACATCATATGTTTACATAGCTTTAAAACAAACGCACCTGCTATGATCTGAATATCTGCTTACCTCCAACTTCACATATTAAACTGAAACCCCTCAGGTGATATAAGGAGATGGGGCATTGGAGGCATTTAGTTCCTGGAGGTGGAGTCTTTTTAAATATTATTAGTGTCCCTGTAAAACAGACCACAGAGAGACCCCTCCAGCCTTTCCCCATGTGAGGACACAGCTAGAAGGTGCAGTCTGTAAGGAATGAATCCTCACCAGACACCAAATTTGCTGGTTCCATAATCTTGAATTTCCTCAGTCTCTAGAAGCGTGAGGGAAAAAAAATGTGTATTTCTTATAAGCCATCCAGTTTATAATGTTTTGTTATAGGAGCCCAAATGGACCAAGATGGCACCTTTTATAATTATTATACAGTTGTATCCAAAATTATCTGGGAACTTTTAGTTTTCTTCTTGTAACTGAAAGTTGAAAGAGATCTCATAATTTAACATTCACTTCATATTTAAATGCCTTAGACTGTTAATACCAATGAGTATAGACATAATAAAACCTACATCTGTGCCTAAAAAATTCATACTATGATGAGCAACTATTCACTTTTTCCCATTCTTTACTCCACCTGGGAGAACTTTCCAGAACATTCCAGATCCTCCACTTTAAGTATATTCACTTTGACCCTTCTCACTTGAAAATATCTCAATCCCCAATGCCAACTGATGCCACAGGCAATGTCAGCATAACTCAGCATTGAGAGAATCAGAGAAGGCATACCTTCCCTGCAGTCCAGTTATGTGACAAGATAGAGGAGAAAGAGTTGACTGATCTCAGCTGAAGACAGAATCCCAGTAGGTAGCTCAAAAATTGCTTGTTTTGGGGGCCCTTGGCACCAAAATGAAAAACTGACTAAGCGAATAATTTTGAAGTCAGAGTTTAATGGATAGAAACAAACGATTGCATGCAAATGAGATTTGCTCATCAGCATTTGTTTTGAGTCTTGAAATAGAGTTTCCTGCTAACAGACACTAACCATTAGTTGGAGTCATTATTATGTAAAATTTGAATTTAATAAAACCAATTTTCTTTAAGTTCTAAATTCTGCACTTTCATGATCTCCTGATCTGTCCCAAATTATTAAGGCTGTCCTAAGAGCAAGATTTCTGCTATGTGCATCAACTTCCCAGGAATCTGTAAAGGATGTTTGTGTGTCTCTTACCTAAAATGGTGATCCATGGACTCTTCAAAGCTGGAGTTCCTGCACTTTGACCCCGTGTTACAAAGAAGTCCTTGGACAAAGGGCATAACACCCCGACTGGGCAGATCACGGGGTTGCAAGTAACCTGGACACAGATGCAAGGAAGAAATGAGTCCATACACCTGCTACAAGAGGTGGAATACCTATTAAGTTAGAATTATAATATGTAATATTAAATTATTATATTATTAACCCTCTTATTAATTTGAAAGTTGCCTGAGGACTCCATCCAAAACCAAAAACTCTTTATACCAAACAACTCTCTTCTAGGGTCTACATACTTCCCTGTTCACGAAGTGGCAACACCTCTGTTGTACAGTGGCAACACCTCTGTTGTATAGCCAGTCCCCTCAGGCAAAGCCCTTTGCAAACTAGTCATAGATGGAAAGAATAAGAATAGATGCTTTTTCCCATCTCATGTAAGTTAGGAATGCTAAAGTTTGAGCAAAAGTTCTGAGTTTAGTGCAACTTTATTTCTGAAATGTTTATGTGTAGTTGTTAAATACCATATGATGCAAAATTGTTTTCTTCACTAGATAGAATCAAAGACTTTTCAAACATTGCTACAGTGAGCTAGCCTCCTTCAAGAAGTACTGATCACACATTCCCCAACCCTACCACCCTTCTCTTCCTGGAAGGGTGGGAACAGTCATCCCCTGATGACTGCAGGCAACTTGGATGTCACTGATCATCTATGCTGTAGCATATGAAACCCTGGTGACAGCCAGAAGTCTAGTTTGGTCTGGGAGATTCTCTCACTTCCCAAGACATGGAGACATACTCTGCCTAGTATTGGGCATAATGTTTGCACATAGAAGACATTCACTAAATGTTTAATGATTGAATCAATGAACAAACATGAACGAATGAATGAAAAGTAAAGTTCTGGACTTTTAAGCTAAGGGGAAAATGGACTTCTTAGCAGATTCGTGGTTCAGTGTTATAGAATAGGAGATCTTAAAAGGGCTGGAGGTCATATCTCAGCAAGGAGTAGGAGGTGCATTTCCCTAGCATTACTTCTGTATCCCATCTCTCTCAAGAATGTGTCAAGAATAGTAGCCACCACAATGGAATATTGGGTCAGAGATTAAGGACTCTAGCCCTGACCCAAACATACTTGTTTCCTGTTTCCTATGTGGTTCTATAAAGGCAAAGGAATACCTGATTCTCTGTCTTATCCTCAATAAGGCCTGGGACACAAAAGGCACTAGAGAAATATTTGCTAAATAAGCAAATAAATAAATCTATAAAATAAGAATTCTGAAAAACTTTTCAGTTTTTCCTGAATGGAGACTGTCTCAACCTATAATACATAATACAGTCCTCAAACAACAAAGAACAATTAGAGCCATTTTTTTCCCTATATATAAAACCTAAATATAAGAGACAACCTATTTTGGACAAATCCCCAATATTCAATAAGCATTTATTCAAGAGAAATTTGCAGAGTAGACCACATTGTATACATTTCAAGTGGCATAGTAAATGGAAACAGAGCAGGCCATTGTTTCTCAAGGGATGTTGCTGTTGAGGTTTCAAATCAGACAGACAAAATGGTCTGACAGATGTTCCCAGAACACAGAGAGTTATCAGTGATGGTTTATCAGGACATCACCATCATAATTGCCATCATCATCATCGCAGTCTCCACTGTCTCCACCATCACCACCACCATCAGTACCATGTGGTAAACTGAAATATATTTCCCATCTTTAACCTCTTATTCCACTTTTCCTACATTTAAATGTCTTATATCTCTAGGTCCAAATTGATTCAGTTTAGTTGCAAGGATAAAGCTGTCTGCTAAATTGAGCAAATGTGTGACTATCTTTTTTAATTTTAAAAAATCCAAATTGCTGCTTATTGGCATATACCCCAGATGAACTGCTACTATTAGAATGGAACACTCTTCATTTATTCCACTCATAATTCAGCATTGATGAAGAACAGAGGGATGAGTACTCTCTTATTTCTCTGAAGGTTTGTAATCTAAAAAATCATATTAAGTGAAACTTACAATTGTCTCTATGTCTAGGAGGTTCTTGGAAACGAAGTACTGTCAGAATCATGAACAGGATACAAGGCCAGAAGAATTCTGCGAGGGAAAGGACCTGAGGAAATATATATTGTTAAAAAAAATGTGCTTGAATAAATTGCAAAGCATTACAACATTTCCACCTCTTGAAGGATGATTGACAAGTCAGTTATCCTTTTAAAGAAAGTCATTGTCACTCCTACTACAACAACTACTGGGACACAAGTTCCATTATAGGGCCCAATTCATTTGTCGCCTCATCATGATCCATGACTATATCATCTCCTGGTCCTTCTCACACCAGGCCCAGCTTCTGTTTTTTCCAGATTCAATCAAGGAATATTTGTTTATGTTTAAATAATTTTTTTTCTCTTCAATGACTTTCTTGAAATTGAAATAAACTTCGAAAACTGTTAGAGTCAATTCTCTAGACACAGACTATCCAAAAGAGTTACCAAAAAAGAACTGTGTGTGATATTTGGTACAAAACTGAATTGTCAAAGAGAAGAGAAAAAGAAATGCCATTTTTGACACATGGAATATGGTTCTTGCTTTACTGATTGCAGTACATATCATTTTTTAAATTTTTTTTTAGTTGTAAGTGGATACAATACCTTTATTTTATTTATTTACATGTGGTGCTAAGGATCAAATCCAGAGCCTCATACATGCTAGGCGAGCACTCCACTTCTAAGCGCTCCAGCCCAGTCCATATCATTTTATAAGTTCAAAAGTGTACAGCCAAACACAAAACAGGCCAAGCATAGAATTAATTCATACAGCGACTTGGAAATCTGCAAGTTAAGGGTGTTCAGTCAACCCCAGCAGTGTGTCTTACTGTTTCGGACCCCCAAGTTACAATGCTCTAAACTAATATGAACTTCTGGGCTCTCTGGCTCCTTTGCTATTCCCCTCTCTGTAAAGTGCAGGCCGCAGATCTAAGTGTGAATGTGTGCACTAGACCTAAAACTCAATCCCTGATGTAATTAAAGGAGAAAAGAAATTGCCCTGGGGCTGGGGATGTGGCTCAAGTGGTGGCGCACTCGCCTGGCATGCGTGCGGCCCGGGTTCGATCCTCAGCACCACATACAAACAAAGATGTTGTGTCCACCGAGAACTAAAAAATAAATATTAAAAAATTCTCTCTCACTCTCTCTCTCACTCTTTCTTTAAAAAAAAAAAAAGAAAAGAAAAGAAATTGCCCTGTTTGAAATAGTGTATGAGGCGTTGGGTCAGAAAATATAACATGATAAAAAAGTTCTCTGGGCTGTACTGAAACCTAGTATCACACATTCTGATAACAGAAGATCTGGAGGAGGTCACCCTTTGGTTCAAGGGATCATGCTTAAAACCAGAAAGAAATGTCAGGAACACTCAGAAGGCTGCAAATTATTCAAATCATTTGGTCATTCTCTGTAAGAATTTTTAAAATGTCTTAAGAGGATTGGGGTCAAGAGGTGGTGGGGGAGGATTCTAGAGTTAATTCTGACTGAGTATAAATAGGCAATACAGAAAATGTACCTCATATTAAACAATGATTTGTTACCATTAAGGAAAAAAAAAACGACATTTTTTTTTCATTCATTTTCAATGACATTGATTGCTACTGTTAGAACAACGGGTTATAAAGAAATGGAAAATCATTTGTAGACCTGAGACTCTTTTTTTTTTATAGTGAAGTTTATTTTGTGTTTGCACAAAATACGGAACGCTTCACGAATTTGCGTGTCATCCTTGCGCAGGGGCCATGCTAATCTTCTCTTTGTATCATTCCAATTTCAGTATATGTGCTGCCAAAGCAAGCATGACCTGAGACTCTTATAGCAATTTTTTATATTAGAAATAAATAAATACATATATGGCTAGAAAATTTTAAAAGTACAAAAAGTATACAAGCAATTGTTACCAAAAGCAGGATCCTGTCCCCAGTGCCAATCCAATAACAAGGACATGGTTTTGAGGAAAAGGAAAAAGAAGGTTGATTGCTTTGCTAGCAAGGAAGAAACACAGGGGGCTTCTGTCCCAAAGGCTGTATGTAATTCTGCCCATCAGCAGGAAGGAAGGGAGTGGGCTTTTAAAGAGATGACTCAAAGGCCACATTCCACATGTTCTCTGTCTGGAGATGTAATTCACTTGTTAATTTGGGGAACAGTCATTTCTGAGGTTTCCAGTACTCCCCAAAGTCGGATTACTTTGTTCCTATGGTAGATGTGTGCTCAAGGACAGACAGATAACTCTGCCTAGGATGGGGAAGATTCCTCTGAGATTACGGAGGGAGAGATATTGGGGAGGAGCAGGGAGGGAGGAATAATTAATTCTTACTGAGTATAAATAGGCAAAGAAAGAAACAGATCCATTTAAAAAATAAGTTGCAGTGGCAGAGCAGCAAGGGTTTTATTCAAAGCATAAAGTGGACCACTGTTACACAATCACCCAAAAGATAAATTATCTTAGCTTTCTTAATTCATTTAAGAACTATATATGAGCATAAGTAATATTTTCAGAAAGAATTTACATATCAATATTTAATATATCTGTCTCACTGCTATTAAAGACAACTTAGTCTTCTATTATAGAATTATTTAACCAATTACCTAATTATGAAATTTGCATGGTTTTCTGTTTGGGGCCCACAATTTCATGAGTTTTCTTTACTTGTTTTGCTGACTTTTGTACATATATCTATGAGAATATTACTAGACCAAAGTGTATGTGATTTGTAATCTGGATTTTTAGTCTGAATAGAAAAAACTAAAATTCCTTCATTAAAAACTAAATCAGGGGCTGGGGCTGGGGCTGGGGCTCAGCAGTAGTACATTTGCCTGGCATGTGTAAGACACTGGGTTTGGTTCTCAACACCCATAAAAATAAGTAAAATAAAGGTCTATAAACAACTAATAATATATATATATATATATATATATATATATATATATATATATAATCCTCATTAATTCTGATCAAACTCTCAGTAGCACTTAAGATTAAAAATCTTTTAATTTTCGTCAAACTTTTTTCAAACTGATATGCAAAAATAAATAACTTTTAATTATTGAGGTCAATCATTTTTAAGAAGTATGTAATAATTCCTTATATAATACTCCTTGTTCTTCTAGGTACCCATTTTTCTATTAAATTGTTCTTTTTTTTCTGACTTATAAATCATCATTTCTTGTCTTCTAATTAAAGAATTTATACTTTTCTTAGCCTTAAGCAAATATTTTCTCTAATTTTTAATTTGCCTTTTTACTGTCTAAATCTTTCATGCAAATTTTTATTTTTGTATTTTTAGTGTCTTATTTATTTTCCCACATTCAAAGGCAATATAAGTTAAAGGAGCCTGCCAAATTAAAATAACAGGAACTCTGAAGCTACAGTCAGTCTGAAAATCAATGACAAACTTCTAGCTTCGAACAACACGGTTTTAAAAAAAAATACAGCTCTACATATTATCACTAAAGTTCCTCTGAGGATCTGAAATAAAAACAAAAGTCTAATAATTAATTTGGAGGCTTTTTTTGTTTTGTTTTGTTTTTACAAGTTGGTCACTGACCCTTTTGAAAAACACAAGTGGGAAAATCTTCCATTGTTCTGAATTTGACACTACTCCATTAAAGAGAAAAGCATTCAGAAGGTGAGTTCTGCAGTGTCACTGTCCTTTGTGAGCAAGTGAATCACCTCCTTTCATTAGACTTTCTCTGTGGAGGCATGAAAGTAGCCTCTTTTTCTCATCACATTTTTATAGCATGGTTCTCTTCTCAGGTGTCATTATTATCCTTGGATCTTGTTTAACATTTCTAATCTTACCGCTGTTTAATGGGAAGGATTTCTGATTAATTTTTAGGAGCTCTCTCTCCCCACTCCAGGCCCCAGTACTGACTTCTGAATCCAGATATCTGATCTAAGCGGAAACAAGGGCTTCAGTGCTGTTCAAAGGCACCAGAGGCTGATGCTACCATGACTTCTGCTCTCAACAAAAGGAATCACCCATAGAACTTACTAGTGCTTACAAAGGACAATGGTCACCCTTCTGAATAACTATTGAACCCTCTATTCTTCCAGTAGGAGGGAAACTCCACAGCACAGTGAATGCCCCATCTACACCTGTGAGCTTCGTGCCCCTGCACTACCTCTCACTGTGACTTTCTCTCGAATACTATGACTCTGACCCACTCCCCATTCCTGTCATACCCCAGCCCAAATATCAATAGAAGCCTTTCCTTCAGCACAGTTGAGACCAGATGACATTCAGGGAGACCTTAGCAATGCCATGCATTAAAACATGCATAGATAAAGGACATCAGATGGAACGACATATGGAAACTTCCTCACAGAATTTTCCTTCCCCGAGTCAAAATTAAGGGGGGAAGAGGAAAGAAATTAGAGGCCAGAGGGAGAAATTTGTCTTTGCCTGATAAGAGAAAAAAGAAAGAAATTACAAAGATGTCAAGAAATAAGTTTCCAGAGCAGATCAGACAAAGCCCACATGATTCTTTTCCAATTTATCCCAGAGTCTCCAAAGCCATAATTCTCACTCACACAATCCTGGTGGCTGTTCCCAGGACCCATGCCTATGGAGAGAACATCCCACCCACACCAGTCTCCCTAAAGCCTCTGACAGAGAAGCTGGAGAGAATGATCAGACAAGAGTAGTGAGCACTGAAGATGATTCTTCCAGAGAAGCCTCGGCTATACATATAAATATGAAATGAATCTACAGTGGGAAAAAACTTTTTCAAATGAATGGAAAGAACATAGTACAAAATATTTAACAAAATGGCAAAGGAGAGTGCAGAGCCCAACTAGTCTAATAAAGGTTGTGTCCCATCTCAAATGGGTTCTCATTCATCTCCACTATCACCTGGACCTTCCTCCTGCCAAAGAAAACAGCAGAGTATAGCAGGCTCAGGGATCACCCTAGAGACTGAAGAAGAAATTAGATGGGCCTCAGATTTATTGAAAAGAGTCAAGAACAAGTATCACACTTTGGCTGGGCTGCCCAAGTATGAGTCAGATTAAAAGAAATCAGAGCAGCTATCTCAACACACTATGGATAGAAACTAAGAACAGTGCAAGCCAAAGAAATGCATAGAGCATGACAGGAAAGAAACTCAAATAGGAAGAAGCTTTTCAAAGAAGCATGGTTTAATTAGAGCAAACAGAAAACAAGAGTTCAAAAAAGATAAATGCAAAGAAAGGTTACTCATCTAAAGAAAAATAACAAAAATAATCACTGTGAAATTTTAACTGATTTAGAAGACACAGAAAGAAAATAGACACTATTTAGATTTGAAGTGCTGGAATAGAGTAGGGTGGAGATAGCAATAGTGATCTTTTAAAACATTTTTAAAGGCAAAAATATTCACAGAAAACCCAATAGATTTGACAAGTAAAAACCATGCAACATAAGGATAGTTGGCATTCCTAAAGCAGAGAATTCAACAAATGGGGAGAAAAAATGATCAGAGATATAACCCAGACCACAATAGAGAGGAAGAGTTTATCTAATCTGAAAGAGCCACTACATTTTAGAGAAAAAAACAAAATAAGCCATACTTGAACTATGTGTAGTGAACTTCAAACTCCTAATCTTCAAAGGCAAAGGAAATATACTATAGGTATTCAGACAGGGGAAAAGTCACCTCCCTAATAAGACGGGGAAGATCAGTCTGACCTTAAACATTTCTTCAAAACACTCGATACTAGATGTCAATGAATCTATAATCACAATATTGTAAGAGAAAGCAAGTGGGATTAAATACATATATGAAAAGTAAGTATGTGATTATATGTAATATGGGAAAGTTATATGTGATTATATATAATATTAAATATATGTGTGATTTATACATATACATATATATATAATACACAATTTCCATTAAACAAAAAAACATAGTGAGTGTGTGTGTGTGTGTGTGTGTGTGTGTTTCTTTTTCTCAGTGAGGAAAGAACCCAGATAATATGCTAATCTTGAACCCGGAAGAAAAAAAAAATGCTTGGCAATTCAAATTAGCCAAAACAAAACTTAAATAAAATTTAAAATTCAGCAATAACACTTTTGCTTTCAGTGGTGTGCTGGCTAGAAACAAACATTGCATTGCTTTGTTTACAAGATATACAATAAATCTCCAAAGAACTAAGAGGAAGAGAGTGACCAAAAATATTCTACAAAAAGAAAACTCATGAGCTGAATCTTAAAGTGTAAGCAATCAGTCACAGGGAGCAAGGGACAAGTTCCTTCAAGGGGAATGAAGGAAAAGAAGAAAAGGTAATATGTTAAAAACTCAAGGCTAGGAATTTTTCTAAGCACAGGAAAGACAGAAATCTGTGAATAAAAGAAATACAACTTTTACCCAAAAACATAAACTCAGACCAGGGGTATTATAACAATGTCAGTTCTACTCAGCGGATCTATGCGTCCATTGCAATTCTGTAATTCTACACAAATTGATACACAGGCTCAATGAAATTTCCACTGGAATTCTAGTAGGTTTGGTTAGTTTGGGCTGTTGTTATACTTAATGAGCTGATCCTAAAACATATTTAGGAGAACAAAGATCAAAGAAATTCAACATAATTTTCATCAACAGGTTGAAATAACTCATCTTTCCACATATCAAGCTTTCCAAAACATGATAGTAATTAAATTGACAGTGTACCATTCATTCAACAATAAGCAAATCAACCTATGAAGTGACATAAAGAAACCAGGAACAGAGCTGTGTAGACACAGAAACCTGATGTATTTTAAAAGTAGCTGACAGAAAAAATAGAAGAGAATTTTCTATTCAATAAATAG